CAGTGTTTCTTTTGTGTTGCATGATTGTATATTCGGCTAGTTGGTGTTGTATTATTTTGCACATGCATGTTTTACTCTCCCATTAAAATCAATCATTAGTTTTTATTTAATTTCGTCTTTGATTTTGTTCTCCGTTCTATAATTTTGATGTCAAAAATGTATCTTACTGGTTAGTATTGCTTATTCTACATTGCTGATTTCTATCCCCACATGCAAATGAATATAGTAATTAATAGTGAATACTATAGTGTTATAATGTGAATGCTATAATAAAGTGTATTCTAATATATATGTATATTATAGTGTTTACAATACTTTATCCAGCATATTTTATTAAATAAAGTGAGCCAATAAGCTGTAATAAAAACTGTATTATACTTTAGTTTTACTACAGTAAGCTGTGGTGGGTTGTAGTATAATATACAATATAGTTGTAGAAGACTACAGTAAGTCATTTGTTTATATTACTGTAGTTTCTGTGTTAGCGTAGCAACTATAGAGTCACCACAATCAATCATTTACTGTAAGTTTTTGTGTTACCATAGCAACTAGAATCACCACAACTGATTAATTGCTGTAGTTGTTGTTACCATAGCAACGGTAGAATCACCACAACAGATCAATTACTATAGTTGGTGTGTTACCATAGCAACGGTAAAATCACCACAACAGATCAATTACTATAGTTGGTGTGTTACCATAGCAACTATAGAATCACCACAACAGATTGATTGCTGTAGTTATGTTACCATAGCAACTATAAAATCACCACAACAGATTGATTACTGTAGTTGCTGTGTTACTATAGCAACTATAAAGTCACCACAACAGATTGATTACTGTAGTTGTTTTTACCATAGTAACTATAGAATAAGCACAACAGATTAATTACTATAGTTGTTGTTGCCATAGCAACTTTAGAATCACCACAACAGATTAATTACTATAGTTGGTCTGTTACCATAGCAACTATCGAATCAGCAAAACGGATAGTTTACTGTAGTTGTTGTTACCATAGCAACTATAGAATCACCACAACAGACTGATTACTGTAGTTGTTGTGTTACCATAGCAACCATAGAATTACGACAACAGATTTTTTACTAGAGTTGGTGTGTTACCTAGCAACTATAGAATCAGCACAACAGATTAATTTAGTTGTTGTGTTACCATAGCAACTATAAAATCACCACAACAGATTGATTGCTGTAGTTATTGTGTTAGCATAGCAACTATAAAATCACCACAACAGATTGATTGCTGTAGTTATTGTGTTAGCATAGCAACTATAAAATCACCACAACAGATTGATTACCGTAGTTGTTGTTACCATAGCAACTTTAGAATAAGCACAACATGTTGCCATAGCAACTATAGACTTACCACAACAATCAATTACTATAGTTGTTGTTGCCATAGCAACTTTAGAATCAAAACAACAGATGAATTACTATAGTTGGTCTGTTACCATAGCAACTATAGAATCAACAAAACAGATAGTTTACTGTTGTTGTCGTGTTAACATAGCAACCATAGAATCACCACAATAGATTTTTTATTATAGTTGGTGTGTTACCTAGCAACTATAGAATCACCACAACAGATATATTACTGCAGTTTGTGCATTACCATAGCAACTATATTAAAGCACAACAAATGAATTACCGTGTTTTATTATAGGATGGTTCAAAAACACTGTGTGTAAAGTGTACTATAAATTACTATAGCATTTGTACATGTAGGTAATTCTTATTTTCTTTCAGGAATATAGAAAAAGGTTTTATTTATCTACAAGTTTTGCTAATTTGTTTTGTTTTTAGAGTGTCCGCAGACATTTAGTCATATTTTACAGTAAACACGAGCTGCTTTTGTGTGTGTTTGAGGTGTGATGTTCACTTCATAGTGCACACTTTATAGTCTGCTGGTGTGAGTGAACATCTCCCTCTAGTGGAAAACACACACACACACACTCACTTATCAGTGCATCTTCTGAGTAATGACTGCTTTGATTTGTTTAATTGGTCCCCATATAAGTATTCTCTGTATTCAAGGAGTTATTTTCATTTCAGTTTTATTATGATTATTATTATTAATTATGCCCCATTAAATATGACTGATTCCATACGAACACAATTTCAGTGGAGTATCTCACACCAGAGCATCTCACAATTATTTAAACATTAATTAAACATGTAATTATTAGTATTTAAGACTGAAATGGTGTTTAGCTTTAGCAAACCTTAAAAGAAGATATGTGTGCATCAAATAATATCATTTTAAAATAATGTAATAAAAGCTTATATTGAGCACTAAATTAGATTATCCAAGATTATGGACAATTGACTGTATTTTAAATACTAGTATATATTAATAATATGATAAATTATTGATTTGTTAATGGGAAATGAGTAAAAAATATTAGCAAATTCATATACTGCAAAAATATTTTCATAATTCTAGAATAAAAGATTTAATTAATATTAAATTATTCTGTTTTTCAATTACTTTTTAAAATTTATTAAACCTTTTATTTTAAAATGTAAGCTAAAATCTGAGAAAATCCATCTGTTTTATATTTTTTAGATGTTGAAATACTGTTTTAGTGACTCTGTGTTTAATCGCTCTGATAATAACGTGACTTTATTTGATTTTTGGCATGAATTACTCCTCAAACTGATATTCGTGTTTGTTTTATTAACGGATGTTCCTTTACTTGTGTTTCAGAGGCGGTAAAAGAAGAAAAAAAGTGCTTTGGGTGTAAAGACCGACCGAGTGTTAAAAACGCATTAACGGGATGCCAGGAATGAGCGCGCAGGAAACCAGCACGGTAAATATAATGAAGAGCATGGTACATATAAAACTGAGAAATAACGGCACAGTAACTATAATAAAGAACATGCTACATACAGTTGAAGTCAGAATTATTAGCCTCCTTTGAATATTTTTTTCTTTTTTAAATATTTCCTAAATGATGTTTAACAGAGCAAGGAAATGTTCACAATATGTCTGATAATATTTTTTCTTCTGGAGAAAGTCTTATTTGTTTGATTTCGGCTAGAATAAAAGCAGTTTTTAATTTTTTAAACACCATTTTGGGGACAAAATTATTAGCCCCTTTAAGCTAAATTTATTTCTGATCATTATACAAAAACTTGCCTAATTACCCTAACCTGCCTAGTTACCCTAATTAACCTAGTTAAGCCTTTAAATGTCACTTTAAGCTGTATAGAAGTGTCTTGAAGAATATCTAGTCTAATATTATTTACTGTCATCATGGCAAAGAGAAAATAAATCAGTTATTAGAGATCAGTTATTAACACTATTATGATTAGAAATGTGCTGAACAAATCTGCACTCCGCTAAACAGAAATTGGGGGAAAAATAAACAGGGGGCTAATAATTCTAACTTCAACTGTATAATACAGAGCATGGTACATATAATAAAGAGAAATAAAAGCAGTGCTGTAAATATAATACAGAGTATGGTAAATATAATACTGATAAACAAAAGCAACCCAGACCTAGACAGAAAAGAAATATTACATGATCCAAAATTCCAAAAGCAAAAAAATATAGATATATTTATCATACCACACTAATATATTTAGTATTATAATTGATGATAATGATGATAATAATAATAATAATAATAATGTTGTTATTAATAATACTACTGAATAATAAAAATAGCAATAATCGTAATGCATATAATAATATTAATACTATATTATTATTATTGTTATTTAATTGACAATTATTGTAGTTCTTCTGTGTTAATAAGTGTAATGACTATTTTTGTCATCTACAAAATATCCTTAAATTAAAAAATAAATTAATTAATAAAAACAGTTCAAGTTAAACTGAATAAGAAAGAAGCAATGCTTTAAAATCTAGCTGAAAAACAATAAGTAAAGATATATAAATGCTTCCTAAAATGTCATATTAGTATAATATAGAGAAAACAAAATATAAATATAGGGAAATGTAAAGAATTTAACATTTATTTACTTATTTATATATAAAAAAATATTATATTTATTATAATTAAATTTAGTTGCAAGTAACTTGTAAAAATAATAATC